ATATATATATATATATATGTAATCAGAGTCCTCGATCCAGCGCTCAAGTTTTCCAGCCCGGCGATGCCTTTGGTCTTGTCTTGATCTAGTGGGTAAACCGTGACAATCCGTGAAACATCTGCTAGGTGTTAATTCGAAGAGCGGTTTGTCAGCCCGCAACATCCCAAGCGTCGCAGACTACGTTTGCAGTTCTGGACCCCAAGCGCCTGGACGCTAAACTCTAAACCCTAAACCCCTAAACCCTAAACCCTTAACCGAAACACTTAACCCCTAAACCCTAAACCCCTAAACCCTAAACTGTTAATCTAAACTTTACACTTAACCCCTAAACCCCAAACTCTAAACTCTAAGCGCTAAACCCTTAACCTAAACACTTAACCCCTAACCCCTAAATTCTAAACCCTCAACCCTAAACCCTTAGTTTAAACACTTAGCCCTAAACTCTAAACTGGCGCGGGGTCGTAGCAGAGATCAAGCTCTGCGTGCCGCCAACGCGGAAGCTTGCTGTCTCTGGGCCAAACGAGAATGGGTAGTTATCTAAATTAGGGTCCCTTTTAGGGTGCTTTTTACAAGGGTGCCGTACTATATTGGGGAAAAAGGGACCCTAATTTAGCAAACTATCCGAAACTATGTCAAAACACTGTCTTGCTCCATCCCACTTTGCTCTCAACAGGCTTTCGCCAGAAGCACCCCAACATAGAATCAGAACGATTCAGGCCTATACAACACTTAGGTCAGGGGCCTTGTATGGAAGGCAGGTCTTACGGGAAGAGTTGGGCCGTTATGGTAGTGGCACAAGATGACTTCGCGGTGCTTGAGCTCATAGGCTTTTGGGCACAAGGCTCGGGATTTGTCGATTCAGGTTAATTTTGGGATGCGGCTTTGGGGTTTCTTAACCGTTACGGTGTACTCAAGTGTACTCCCTAAGCCGCCAGATTTCTGATGGTTCTGGGGCACCTCCGACACAAGACCTGAAGTCTCAACTCGGGTTTCAGACGCTTATGAGGAATGTTTGTCCGAGGGTTGCTAAGGCCAACCCGGGCTAGATTTCAATTGGCATATTCTTGGGCTAGATTTCAAATCGCATATTCTTGGACTAGATTTCAAATCGCATATTCTTGGGCTAGATTTCAAATCGCATATTCTTGGGCCCCATTTGGCTCAAGTGAATCGAGTCGTAGTGCAGCGATCACGTTTGGACCGTCCCTCCGTGCCGCTGTAGCCGAAGCCATGAGCAGCGATGCAAAGATGGAAATCAGCGAGGCGGCAAAGTCCGGCGACGGTACCCTTGCCAATGTCGGCATCAAAGTGAACGGGAAGTTCAAGTCACCCGTCAACAACCAGTTGTTTGACACAAAAGAGGCCCTCGATCTCCACTTGAAGTACCTTCACGATCCGAAAAAGGCCAATCCCAATGTCGAGGAGTGAAGATCTTCTCTCAGTGTGTGTGTGGCAGCAGTATTCAACTGGGAACTTGGTTGATCTTGTACGTCGGAACGAGGTGGTGGCTTTCTATGACTCGATGTCTTGTGATGTGACGTTTTTAACCGTCACAGCCGAGGGGTGATTTTGTGCTTGTTGCGCCTCCTGCGCTACAGCAAGGCATTTTGTAGCACCAGTACTTGTGCTCCAGATTCTATAGGGGCCTGATTAATTACCAACACTATTTGGGGGCTCCTTATTAAAATTAGAGTATAATATACCCCCCCAAAACCCTAAGCAATAAGATTATGAAGGCCTCTACATTACTTACTTTCCAGTTGACGTGGGAGCTACTCTGGACTGGTGTACTCTCTGGGGTCGATATAGGGACCCACTTTCTGCAGCCAGAGACATTTCGTAGAACCCTTAGTACCAAAAAGCGATCAGGGTTTGGGTTTAGGGTTTAGGGTTCAGGGTTTAGGGTTTGGTTTTACAGGCTTGTGGCTTTGGGGTGGAAGGGTTAGGTGCTTACGGTTTCTATAGGGGTTTATACTTGCTCTGCCAAGAGTTAAACCTCAATCGTCTTGAGCTTCCCTATTCTTGTAGGAGCAGCCACACCAATCCTCGCATTTTCAGTCTACAGTGCTTTGGCTTAGTATACGGGCCTTAATAATTGGAATAGGGTTTGGGGGGTTCCTTATTATATTTATAGTCTAATGGGCCCCAAAACGCTATTCAAATGATTCAGGCCCCTAAGCCCAAAACCCTTATAGTAGCCCTTATACAACCCTTTAAAGGACCCCCCCCCAAAAAAAAAAGAACCATTCGAATTATTCAGGCCCCTACGTTAGAGGTTTTGGAGCTTCTGGTGACTCGGTGTTTGGGGGGGATTCAGGGTCTGTAAGCTTCGGTTCACCCCAAGCCCAAAAAGCCCTGTAGTAAAAGCCAGAAACCCTAAGCCCTAAACCCTAAACCCTAAACCCTAAACCCTAAATCCTAAACCCTGAACCCTAAACCCTAAACCCTAAACCCTAAACCCTAAACCTTATCCTCGTGCCTTTAAGGTAAGGTAGAAGGAACCCTGGCCCGAATCATCCAAAGCTCCTTCCAGCCTCCTGGGGTTCGCTGTAAACCCAAAGGGTTTAGGGTTTAGAGTTTAGGGTTTAGGGTTTAGGGTTTAGGGTTTAGGGTTTAGGGGATCTTCAGGAGTTCGGGTTTTCTTTTTATGCCCATGGTCCTCAAGTCTAAGGAGTTCCTAGAACGTAAGGCTTTGGGGTTTAGGGCTTTAGGGGTTTAGTGTTTAGGGCTTTCGGGGTTTAGGGTTTACGGCTTTATGGGTTTAGGGTTTTGGGGTTTAGGGTCTAAATAAAGCTTAAGCCCCAAAGCCTAGACCCTAAACCGTCACAGAAGTTTCCGGCTGGGGGCGATGTCCGCGAAAAAATCGGTTTTGTGGCGTATGGGTTGAGGGTTTTGGGCAATTCCTTTAGCCTTTGACCCGTACTAAAGATCCGAAGCCCGGACTACCAGACACTGCTGCGCAGCAGTGGCGGCACAGTCCTGGAGCGCATGCGCGAAGGTGTTCGCGATGTGGGTCTGGTCCAAACTACGTTCCGTTCTTTGATGTATGTATATATATATATACTATATATATATATACATACATGCATATCAAAACGTGTATATATATATATAGAGAGAGAGAGAGAGAGCGAGAGAGAGAGAGAGCGATATATATATATATATATATATTCTAATATACTGTATGTCATTTCGTATCCGTTATCAATTGTCGTGTAGGGGGTCTTTAACACCAGGCCCTCAACAACAGGGAAACCTTCGATGCAAAGCAGCCTTTTCTTGTGTTGGTCGTGCAGACTCCCTCAGAAAGTCACTGATTGCTTGGAGGATCATGGGACTGAGTGAGTAAGGTTTAAAGAGCCTTAATTGGAGTTACAAATACCTATATGTATAGCTACTGTATTGGTAGCCTTAGTTGCTAAGTCCCATGAGCTTCCAAGCAGGTTTCATGAGACCATTAGCTTCCACACATCATGAGGGATACAGACAGATCTCGGCTCGGGCATACAGCCGCATCTTCAGTTTTGCAAAGATTTACATGGAGAGTGTGGATCTGAAGAACTTTACCATGAACCAGAATCTATTCATGGGGTGTTGGTTTTGGATTTAGGCTACCGGCCTTGGTGTCCTGATTGCAAGCCAACTCCAGGCGCCATGGCATCTGCACATCTAGACGCTCGGCACTTTTGGACGTCTGTAACAGAGAAGTCCTTGCGCCAAGTGCACACAAACTGTGCAGAATGGAACGCTATAGCGGCGTACTTTACGAAGCATATGCCGGATGACAGCATCTTGCAGGCCGTAGAACGAGTGGAGAACCCCAAGCTGTGGAACCTGTACCAGGCGCATCTAGATGCTGTTGGTGAAGGCTTTCCGGGTCAGCCAGAGATGTGGCTATGGCATGGGGCAGACGACAGTCGTCAGATTGCCCGCGATGGCTTCAAGACAGCTTACTCCAACCGGACCTTTAACATGTACGGTGTGGGTCATTACTTTGCAGTGGATCCTCGCATGGCCAACCACTTTGTACGCAGTTGCCGGGATGTACCCGAAAGGTCCCGAACACTTCTTCTGTGCCGTGTTGCGGCCGGCATTTGCAAGACGAGGGAGCCTATAACGATGCACGTGGAGCACTGCCGGACGCAGCACATGGGCTGCAAATTCTGGGCCTGCCGCGAGTTGCGGGCCAAGCTATTAAGAAACCCCGAGAACCAGCAAGCTCCAGCAGGTTCACATTCATGCACATCGAAGAACAAAGTTGAGGTGATCGTCTTTGAGAATCATCACGCATATCCGGCTTACCTCCTGGAATACACCTGCCCGTCTCTATGCGATTTTGATCCCTACAGGAACCTCAAGCAGCTCGCCAGTTTCGACCCGCGCGCAGAACGCTCAAACTGGAGCGTTCAATTCAAAGCCAAACGGGCCTTGCTTCTTGGAGGTATTGGATTTTGCGGTGACATGGCCTACGCAGAGGCACTCGCAGAATATGCAAAGGGAGCTTTGCCAGAGATTGTGTGGGAGCAGCAACGGTGCAGTCCACCAGAAGTCTGCGGCGTGCTTTCCAACTTTGACATTGTGCTGGTGTGCGATATGTACATCGACTTGCCACGGAAGTTGTGGAGTCCGAAGCTGGACCACGCTCTGAAAGAGTTTGTGCTAAAGGGAGGATTTCTTGCGTTTATGGGCGGTGAGCCGTTGGCGAAAGACCGGATCTTCAAGGCGAAATTGGAGAAAGTCCTACGTACAACCATCTTTACTCATAGTCCTCTGCCATCATCGTAGAATCCTATCGCCATCCCAAAGAAGCCCCTGAAGCACAACGTTTTGTAGGAATCCCGAATTGCTTTCGAGGATGTTTTTGGGCTCTCCTGGACTTTCGCCGGCGAGACAGGCTGCGACTGCGTCAAGTCATTCATGGTTGATCTGCCTTGCATGGAGGATGCTCCGGGAAAGTTGGAACGGAGGAAGCTGATGCCTTTGAGCAATGTTCCCCAAACAGAGCGCATTTACCCGTTGGAAATATTCCCTGATTCAGATTTAGACGTGTCAGATGACTCGGATCCGGAAACGCCTGCGGAGTCACTTCTGTGTGGTGTAGCACTTGCACAGCATGGGCTCGGCTCCATCGTGAACATGGGTGAGATGCAGTATCTATACCCAGAGTTTTACCCGAAAGGCTCCGAGTTCTCCTGGTGGGATGCCTTGCTGTGCCTGGTTAAGGGGCACAAACCCAAGCCAGCACTTCCACAAGCACTCGAGGTAGCTCTTTCGCAGGATTGGCAAAGCATTGAGGATGACGATGCTCATGTCATTCGCATGGAGGCTTTGCTAGATGATGCCTTTGATGCTGTTCTTACAGCCAACGCCGAGAAGCTGGGAGGCATGCTGAGGCACATCAATCCCAACATGGCCGATGACAGGGGCTTTTCACTCCTCATGATGGCTGCACAGACATCGGAAGTACATGTCATTCAATTGCTTTTGAATGCTAAAGCAGACATCGGCCAGACAGATGCTCTCAACGGTTGGACTGCCCTGCATTACCTGGCCGAGTCACCCAGAGCCAGCAAAGAAGCCTGGGAATTCTTAGTCGCAGCAGGGTCGGATCCACAGTTGCCCAGCCGCTTCGGAGACAGTCCGCTGGACCTTGCTCGTGATAACTTCCGGCTGCCCATGAGGCGGCGGGGACTATCAGCCGGCTATTTTTTCCAGGACTTCTGAAAGCTGTAGATTGGGGGCCGAAGTTCACATGTCATGTGGCCCTTGACTGGAAGAGCTCCCTTGTGAAGAGGCATGTGACATGTGAAGAAAATCCGAAAAGTTGAGGAATCCTTTGCGAGTCCTTCCGGCCTATCAGGGTTTCAGGTGTAGGGCATTGAGGGTTTGGGATCAAGGGTTTGGGTTTAGGTTTAAGGCTTTGGATTTGGGAATTAGTATTTGGGAGTTGAGGTTTGGTGGCCTTCCCGGACTTTTACATGCAGTTCCACTTTTTCGCTTGCCTCATTTTGTTGTCGGACTCTGACCATCGCGAAGGTGATCAGATCCACAACATCCATTTCAATATGTGGGTATGGACGGGTTGGCCCCCAGGAATTCCCATCAAAGTTTCGTAGCTATATGTGATGCATCGGGGCACATAGCAAACAGCTCAGTACCGCTGTTAGTGTTATGATTGAGCTTCAGTCAGAAGTGCCCTAAATGGCGGGGGTTTCCTGCTCCGTTATTCTGCCATGTACCGTACTTACCAACTTGCCTGAGGTTCTGTGAGGAAGTGGCAAAGCTAGAGTTGAGACCCGTTTAGGAGCCCAGACTGGAGCTCTTACAGAACCCTAAACCCTCAACCCTAAAACCCTAAACCCGTGTAGCTTTGAAGAGCCCCCATTATTGGAACCCCTCGATTTTCATTCCCTAGGCCCTAACCCCTAAACGCTAGAGCCAAACCCTGAGCCGTTTAGGGTTTAGGTTTAGGGCTTCGGGTTTCATAAGCCCTAAAGCCTCAAACTGAACCCGATTTCGTCGCCGGTGGGCGGGGGGGGGGACGCCGACAACATCAGGGGTGGATCATCTTCCAGTGTTGGGGGTTGGGGTTGTGGGATTTGGGCTTCAGGGTGCTTTTTTGTCTTCCGAACCTCAAGGCCGTTTCGGGTTTTTTAGGAAGTGAGGGCTCTTTAAAGATTTGCTCTGCGACTGTAGGGCGCTAGAACTCCAGTGTTTCCCGCACTCGCGGGCTTCTCTTTTTTTCTCCCTGAGCCCACCGGACCGGGTAGAGGACTACAGCAGCCTGCGCAACATTTCTTGCAGTCCCTATAGCCGTCCCGCTTCCCGAACCACAACTTTGATTCCTTACCCGCAAACTCTCCATCTTCCTCCGAAAACCCCTAAGCAAACTCCAGAAGCCACTTCCGGTCCACCGCACCCGCACCCTAACCCTAAACCCTAAACCCTAAACCGTTCCGGTCCACCGCAGGACTTGAATGCGCAGGAGGGCAAGACGCTTATTCGTGCCTAGCTCGGTCCTAGAACCTTTGTTTTCGACTACCCAGGGTTTTGGCTGGAGCGTGTTGCGTAAGGCTCATGCCCCATATGGCCCATATGCTTTCTGCTTCTTTTTAAAAGAACTGTAGAAGGGTTTAGGGTTTAGGGTTTAGGACTTAGGGCTTAGGGGTTTAGGGTTTAGGGTTTAGGGTTTAGGATTTAGGATCCCATAGAGCTCCCACAGATCCTAAAACAACCACATCAAGAGAAAAGTCGCACAGCTGTACAACCGTCCAAGCTTGCAGTACAATCTGCAAGCCAGACCCCTCGCCCCTTCCTGGATTCTCCGAAACCTTGAACCCTACACCCTAAACCTCAGAAGCCCTAAACCCCAAGATTCCAAACCCCAAACCCTTAACCAAGTCCTAAACCCTAAACCCTAAACCCTTAAAGAATAACCCCGGGTCCAGAGACCTGCCACTGTACCTATTGTAGGGTCCTAAACTGACAACTCGGCAAAGAAGAAAGCAAACAGTGGAGCCTCCTACCCTAAACCCTAAGCCCTATGCTATGTAGTAGAAGATCCTGATAGAGTTTTTACAGAGCCCTTAAAGGAAGGCCTAGATACATCTATGTGCTGTTACAAGTAAGATCTTTACCGATCCTTTATAGAGCCCTTGAAGGAAACCCTACTATGGTAAGCCTGCGCTCCCGAAGCCCTAAACCCCTAAACCCCTAAACCCTAAACCCCTAAACCCTAAACCCTAAACCCCAAACCCCTAAACCCTAAACCCCTAAACCCTAAACCCCTAAACCCTAAACCCTAAGCCTGCGCACCCAGGTTTCCAGGTCCAAGCCCAGGGAGCGCAGCCCTTTCCATGTGAAGGTTTTGAGGGCATGTCTCTGAAGGAGCCTTGCCTGGGGTTTAGGGTTGTTTGTTGGGGCTCATAGGGGAGGTTTGGGGTGTAGGGCTGGGTGTAGATTTTGGGGTTTGGGGTTTCGGGTTTAGGGGCTTGCTTTATTGCGGGTCAGCTCTATCTGTTATTTTTGCTCCGTTCTACTACGTATCCTACTGGACTTACGATGGCGACTTTTCTGCCTTAATGTGCTTAATGGAGAACACTGGTGATGGTGGTTGACTTCGGTCTGGATCCAGTGAAGGAAGAAGTCTTCATTCCACAGCGTCATGGGCCTTAGGACTGGTCAGTCCTGAACCCCACGGTTTAGGGTTTAGGGTTTAGGGTTTAAATCCTAAACTGTAGGCGGGCGGGTGGGTTTGGGCGTGGCTTGTTGGCCCCATGCTTTTGGGCCAAACGTTCAGGATACAGACAGCATCTTCTCAGCAGATGAGCGTCAAGCTAAAATCGTCTCTGGCCGTCCTTGTAGACCCTGTAGCCCCTAAACCCTAAACCAGAAGGATAATATAACCACAAGCTGCCACCTGTGTCTGTTGCGTTAAATCCTGAACACCCACATACAAACAGAATATAGGAGCCTTCATAATTAGAATAGGGGTTTTGGTGGTTCCTTATTAGAACTATAGTATAACAGACCCCCAAACCCTATTTTAATTATTGAGGCCCTGACATGACAAACATACAAGCGCGTACAAACACTCTAAACCCTAAACCCTACTGAAACCCTAAACCCTTACCCCTTATCCCTAAACCCTAAACCCCTAAACCCTAAACCCTAAACCCCAAACCCCAAACCCTAAACCCTAAACCCTAAACCCCTAAACCCTGAACTTCTATTGGCTCTCTGGTGTGCAGCTGGAAAAAGGGCCCGGTTAAAAGCAACAACAAAGCCTAAACTTCTTGGAACCTTGAACTCCCCCTAAAGGGGCCCCTTCTTAATCCTACTTGTGGCTCTCTTAAACGGGACCTTATTAACCTAAACCCTAAACCCTAAACCCTAAACCCTAAACCCTAAACCCTAAACCCTAAACCCTAAACCCTAAACCCTAAACCGTGACCTTATTGAGAGGGCCTGGGTCTAGACCCCCAAGGGTCCCCCTAATCCCTGCCACATGGCCCGAATCAGAAGTCTGCCTCGGCCTGAAGCCTGCCCCTGCTTTTAGGGTTCCTAAGGGGCTGAGTGGGTGACCTTTAATTTAGGGTTCAGGGTTTAGGGTTTAGGGTTTAGGGTGGGTGACCTTTAACTTTTGGGGGCTCAAATAATCCTACTATAGTTAAAAGGTTAACCTTTTTTGGGCTAGGGTACTCAGCCCCTAAGTTTTAGGTTTCACCGTTCAGGGTTTTGGGGATTTAGGGCTTTGGGTTTTAGGGAGCTTTCGGGTTTAGGGTTTTAGGGAGCTTCAGGGTTTAGGGTTCAGGTTTTAGGGAGCTCTAGGGTGTAGGGCTTTGGGTTTTAGGGAGCTTTACTGTTTAGGGTTTTAGGAAGCTTCAGGGTTTAGGGTTTAGGGAGCTTTGGGGTTTAGGGTCTTGGGGAGCTCTAGGGTTTAGGGTTATAGGGAGCATTTCCACAGAAAGAGCTTTGCGGTTTAGGGTTTTAGGGAGCATTTCCAGAGAAAGAGTGGCTCAAGGCAGGCTAAAAGAGTTGCGGAGCCTGCTGGGCCTTGTTTGGTGCCACCTGCACCTCGGCAGCATCTGGCTTCGGGGTTTAGGGTTTAGGGTTTAGGGTTTAGGTCGGATATGGTGTTCAGGTGCTGGGCTGTTTGGAGATGTTAGCAAGCCATGACTTTATATGCTCTGGCCCAGGGATCTTGACCAGATATGCTGCTTTAGCTTCTGCAGGCCGCAATTCTCAGGTATGAACATCCACTTCAACTGCCTGTCTTCCAGACACGTTGCCAATCATGTGGGTGGTTGTCAAAATTATGGTCCCTTTTGGGGTCCTTATTATAATACGGCACCTATTATTTAGGGTACCCCAAAAGGGACCATAATTTTGACAACTACCCATGTATCTTTGAAGCGATCCCAAACGAACACGCTCGCTGCTCTCTTGAAGATGCCTGAGTCACCGTAGGCATGCTTGCCTACAGCTTATGCTACGAGGACTGTCACAACTCAATCCCCATTAAGACCTTGCAGAAACTCATAGGGAACACTATATGGCCCTTACAGCACTCCTCAACATAACATAAGCCTCTTATGCCCTAAACCCCGCACCTTGTTCTAATGGTACAAAGAGGCAACCCCTCAAACACCCCGACAGTTTGTAGGCCTGAAACCCTAAACCCTCAACCCGAAGCCCTATATACCTCATTTGCCTGATTCTACCTGTCGCCATTGTAATTAGCCGTGCTCCTTTTTGGCTTAACCGTTTATATAGTTAGGATTTTATAGGGTAACCTCAAGAAGGACTACAATCGAGACTATAGGTAATCGAAGGCAATCCTCAAAAAGCCCCTCAGCTTTTGTTGGCCTTGATCCTGGCACCCTGAACCCCCCATCTCAAAATCCCTTCCAGAACCCTTGCAGTTACAGGAAACCCCACTTAGTCTTGTTCTACAACCCGTCTAGACTCTAGACAAACCCTGAAAAAGCCTTCTTCAAAAATCCCTTATATACAAAGCCCTCAGAGAACCCTTACCATGCCTAAACCCTAAACCCTAAACCCTGAACCCCTAAACCCTAAACTTCTATTGACTTGCTGGTGTGCAGCTGGAAAAAGGGCCCGGTTAAAGAAAGCAAAACCTAAACTTCTTGGAACCTTGAACTCCCCCTTCCACACGCCCCGAATCAGAAGCCTACCCTTATGGAGCCCTAAACCCTAATTAA